TATTTTTGGCTATTGCTACAAATATACCCCAGCGACTTAAGACTGCTTTTGTGCTCCAGGGTCACAAATAGTCAAGTAGCACCGTGACATGAAGCCACAGGCTGTTGCTTCACATTCATGAACTGGTTAATCATGTTCCTCATGTGCTTTTATGCAGAGAAACCGCGAATGAACTCTGGAAGTGGATGCGCCAACTTGAAGCCGAGAAGTTTGAGCTGCAATACAGATACATGTGCCAGAAATACGAGGTGAGGTTTCACAAAGCCTAACATGATGTTAGAGGAGTCCTAACATTTGGAGAAGATGAGTTTATGGGATGTACAGTACAGTACAACTATCAGTTACACACACATGCAGTCACACCCAGCACAGACTTGGCAGAACAATCATCTGGGCCGGTTCCCAGAGATGCCGCTTGATTGACATGAGAAGGAAGCAAAGCTGTGCGGCGATGATTCACCAAGACTGATTCATACCTGTGGTTTTCTGTCTCATAGATCACCGTGCTTAGGAATCGTGTCAGCGACCATCAGAAAAAGTAAGTTGCTGTGAAATGGACCTGATTGATTGATGCGTTATCAAAAGCTCTGTTCATACAACAAACCAAAGTGCCAGAATTTACACTTTCTCCTTTAATTTTGTGAGGTTCACATGACCTATTAAATTTGGCCCACATTTTAGACACTAATCATCATATTTTTGTCAATATTAGAAGAAATGTACACTAGCATTCAAAAGTTGGGGATTTTTTTAGTTTTGTTTTTGAAAAATTAGATTTGATCAAAAATACAGTAAAAACTATAATATTGTGAAATAACATTACAATTTAAAATAACTGTTTTCTATTGAAATATATTTTAAATGTCATTTATTCCTGTGATGCAAAGCTGAATTTTCAGCATCATTACTCCAGTCTTCAGTCTCACATGATCCTTAATATTTTTGTGGAACATATTTTTTTCAGGATTCTTTGATGAAAAGAAATTTCAACAGAACAGCGTTTATTTGAAATAGAAATCTTTTGTTACAGTATAAATGCCTTTACTGTCACTTTTGATCAGTTTAATGCATGCTTGCTGAAGTATTAATTTCTTTAAAAAAAATCTTGCATGGAAGTGTACATGCGGATTAATATTGTAAACACAATACCTCATATAGTGCAATTCATAAATTATTGTATGATTCACCCCAGCAGTAAATAGACAGTCAGTCTAGTTAGATTGTCATTAAAAATGCTCTGGAGTCATGTTACACAAAATCTGATATTTATGAAGGCAGCTCAAATTGATTTCAGAAAGTTCAACAGAACAGCATTTATTTGAAATAGAAATCTTTTGTTACAGTATAAATGCCTTTACTGTCACTCTTGATCAGTTTAATGCATGCTTGATGAAGTATTAATTTCTTTAAAAAAAATCTTGCATGGAAGTGTACATGCGGATTAATATTGTAAACACAATACCTCATATAGTGCAATTCATAAATTATTGTATGATTCACCCCAGCAGTAAATAGACAGTTAGTCTAGTTAGATTGTCATTAAAAATGCTCTGGAGTCATGTTACACAAAATCTGATATTTATGAAGGCAGCTCAAATTGATTTCAAAGTGATATTGTCATTACATGAGGAAGAAAAAAACAACAGATTTGGGCCCCATTCAACTGCGTCAACACCGCCAAAAACCTGTGTAGCCCCTCCAGGTGTTAAATATCAAATATCGAGCAACTGTTGAACAATAAAACATGTTACCTTCAGCTCAGATGTGAATAGTGATGAGCAGTAGTCCTGAAATAACACACAGTATTGACCTCAGTGTGTGAAAGGCCTTGGTAAAGACCGAGCTAAGACGCGTAATGCCGCGAGGCTAATCTAGCATAGCATCACGTTTCCAGAACTCTCTGTGCGGAATAACAGTTGCTGCTTTGTTCTAGCACAACCTTTATCCAGAACCTACGGCCACGCAAAAGGAAATAAACAGATAGCTGAAGGATTGTGTACTGTACATAAGTAAACAGAAAAAGAAGCATGGTTGAGTATCAGTAGCACATGGTAATACCCTGGGTATTTTTGATATATACCATAGTATTGAATGATCATATTTATACACCATATGGTGTTTAAAAGTAATGTAAGATACTTCAAAGAATACTACATAATGCTAGTGTCCAAAAACATGGTATTATCATGTTTCTATTTCATATATTTTTATGGAAAATTAAAAATATACACTATTTGTTGTCCACTTAAAATACAAATGAAAAATCTGATATTAAATGATCAATTAGATTAAATGATTTAATCAAAATATTAAATTATCAAAATGATCATTTAATACCTGAACTGTAATAAAGCACTGTAAGGTACTTCAAAAAATACCATCATGCTAGTGTCCAAAAACATGGTATTGACATCTTTTTATATGACATATTTTTATGCAAAATATAAAAATATACCCTGTAAAAAATTTTTGTCTGGTAACTTAAAAATATATTCATCTGAAATAACTGGTTTAATTCAAGTAAGAAATATAACCTAATATTACTGAATCAATCTGATGCAATTCAGCTAATGAAAAAAAAAACAAGTTAATAATCAGGAAACAATTGCAATTGCAAAAACAATTACAAACAATTCCACCGAATTATCATATTCATATACAATATGGTATTTAAATAGTACTTTAAAAAATACCATGGTATTACAATCCTGCCAGTGTCCAAAAACATGGTGTTACTGTGTTTTTATATTTTTTTTATGCAAAATATAAAAAAAAATACACCATAACATTTTTTCAGGTAACTTAAAAGTTTATTGATATAAAATTTAAAAAAAAATTTAAATAATAAACTTGTTTTATTAAAAAAAAAAAAATAAAAAAATAAAAAAAATCAAATTTAATATGACAATATTAAGTTAATGCAACAAAAATAATTTAATAATCAGGAAAATAAGGAGCAAACAACGGATCGTATGTATATACCATATATAGTATTTAAAAATACCATTTTGTTAGTGCCCCAAACCATGGTATTACCATGTTTTTATATAACATTTTTGTATGCAAAATATAAAAATATATACTGTAAAAAATGGTCAACATAAACATATATTAATCAAAGTAGACTGGTTTAATATTACAAAATAAATAAAGACACATTCAATGCAAAAGAAATTCAATTTAATACACATTTTTGCTTTTTACCCTGTATATGGGACTTATCTGATTGCAAAATACATCTGGTAGTATAAATATGGCATTTTTTTATAAGCATGTGAACAGCTGCTCAACACTAAGCTGTGTGGAAGTCAGGTGGTTTAATAATAGACTACCATCAGCATAAAATAACAAACAACAGAGCTGCTATTCCAAACCAGCGCTTGATCCCGTCATTCAGCGGACTTAACAAAACCCTCAAGTCAAACCCAGTGTGTGTCGGATAGGTGATACATCTCTCGCCAAACACACTCCTGCCGAGCTGTTATGGCTAATATGACCTGTACTGAACTGAGCCGTAACACAGCTGGGATGTTCCATCAGATCATCTACGATAATATGAAGTGCCTAACAAAGGATTTTTGTAGATCACTATAGTTATGATACTGTAAATTCTGTTTCAAGATGATTTATCGAAGGGATCGCCATTCACAGGCTCTCCGGGGCACACAGAGAAGGAACACCGATCCGGCAGCTGTTCAAGGGTTAAAGCGGAAGTTATAGGGGGTCAGACAGACCCAGGGCTCCTGGAAGATCCCATTTTAAGCACTAGAAGAATGGGAGATTTGATCTGGCCTGACATCGCTACTGCGAGAGATTAAGACAACATATGCCTGTACAAAATAAGACTAATCCGAGGCCGGTAAATAAAAGAACTTGGATTTTGTTAACACCTAGTGTACTAGTGTATAGTTTATGTCATGCTATATTCTTAAAAATAAAGGATATAAACAGATGGATAAACTGAGGCTAAAGCCATTGAAGTCCAGCAACAAACTATTGTGGGCCATGACCATAAAATAGGTCACAGGTCTGTTCTGATCTAAAAACAAGTATTTAAAAAATGCAAGCATATAATTGTTCACTGATCATTTACGTAATCACAAATGTATTTAAATAAAATATTTTTTCCCTCTCTCTTAGTACCAAAGGCTCTAGGAGTAAAAGAGGACTACGAAAATAAAGCAGCTTCACAGAGACACCAGCAACCTCTACCACACGGATATTTGCATAAATAATATGCTTTAATGCAGTTATATATTCTGATCCTCTTATTTAATGTTTTTTGAAGCGCTACAAAGAATAAAAACAGGCATCTGAATGAAAGATGAAACAGTGAAGTTGGTTTTTAAGAGACTAATATATAAGTTCACATTTGTCATAATATGAAATTAATGACTTTTCTGTTAATTATATGCATGTCATAATATGCAAAGTGCCACGATGTGTACAGCTGTCATTTATCATCTTGTTGATTTAATGTTAGTGAATCATAACACGTAAATTGAAAGCAAAGATATAATTGAAATCGGAAAACGTCGCATGCATTTTCAGAGATTTGCATGCATGATTGTAAATGATTACACTATTTTTTAATAAAGTATATGTTAGACTAAATGAGTTTTCAGACTAACAGCATATGCTTTAGTATGTCCCAGTGTTTGTCTTTCTTTTTGCATGGATTTGGTAAAGGTTATGAATATTTCAAAGTAAATCGTGACACAGACTAGTGCTGTTGAAAACTTTATTGAAACTTTGCTCGAAGTCGCTGTGAGCTGAAACATACAAATTGATCCATACCCCTAACGCAACAACCACAACATATGTAATGGTGAACAAATGTCAAAATGAGCCAAAGAAACTTCTTAGAATTGATTACTCAATGACTGAATGACATACGTATATATTTATATTGTCTGATATTATATAACTTGATTTATAATACATCATACAGTGTAATATAAAATATCTTAAACTTGCGCAAACAACCTGTAACACTCTCATAAAATCATTTGCGTTTTAGAACACATTATAAAGACAAACAAAGACATATAAATCATCTTAACTCAATGAAAACACTATGGTCTTGAGAAATGGAAAAAAAAAAAAATCATGTTTTTGTCATTGCATTTGTTATGCATCGTTACAAAAAGCATCTACCGCCCCAAACGAAATAAAAGCTCATTCTTACATTTCCTCTGCAATACTTAACCAAAATTAAAATGCAATGCAATTAAAATGCAGTTTGTTTGTAAAGTGCTTCTCTTAGTCGACTACTTGAAGAGATCTGAAAGCTGCCGACGTTATGTCATTCACAAAGGATTTCTTATTCATGCCTTGCTGCAAGATGAACACACAAACACACAGGTTAGCTATTTTACTGTGAATATATAACACAACTCAATATTAAATACAAGTAAACATGACCTCACACCAGTATATACCGATTTACAGTATGTTTATATAAAATCTGACTTTACAGCTAGAATGACATTATCTGAGTCTGATCACTGAGTGAAACCAGTGAGGTTAGATTCTTCAGGTCATCTAGACACACAAAGAAAGCCACCCGTCTCCACCGCGACTGCAGGGTCGGTGTGGTGAGGTGTGGTTGGTTGGTTTTCACCCTTAAGCATTCACACACACACACACACACACCTCACGGCTAGTTCTCCGCACCACACCCAAAATCCTCAACCGTCCGACACAAACACACACACACACACACACACTAAACCACCCACAATATTTTCCCACAAGCAGCCTCAGGAATGAGACATCTGATTCCATGCACTCATCACCAGCTATTTTGGAGGAAAACCATACATTTTTTCTTATGTATCCATACCTAAAATAAAGGTACCAAAAAGGTGTTTTCTTGCCACACTGTCGCCTTTGGCTTGCTCAGATGGAGTTTAAAAGAAAATTAATTTTCAGTAATATTTATTTATTTAAATGCACTGATTAACTTTGCAAGAGTTGAACTGAATCAACATTAAATGACTTGAGCTGAATAATGACACTACTGTCTTTTTAAAGCTGAAATGAGAAAAAAATTGGCATTTGAAAAATACATATTAAATAGAATACAATTTTAATAAAAATAGATACAAATATTGCTCATAATTATTATGAACTAAATTATAATTATACATTATTTTGCATTTTATTTTCATTTATGGAGCAAAAATTATCTTCTTTAGAGCATGAAAAAAAAGGTTTAATAATTATAAAATTAATGAATTAAATTAAATTCTTAATGAATTAATATTAATAAAAAAATAAATAAATGACACTATTGTCTGCTGCAGAGCTGCTTACAGCTGAACTGAACTCTTTTCAAAAATAACGAAATTTGCAGCATCGAAACTGAGCCAAATAATGACATTATTATCTTCTGTAGAGCTGCTTATAGCTGAAACTATGAGTTTTTGTTTCATAATTGATGACTTTTACAACATTTACACAATTATTTTCCTGTTTATTAATGTGAAGCTGCTTTAAAACAATCTGTATCGTATAAAGCACTATATAAATAAATCAATAAACCACAACACTGGTCTGAAGAACCTATAATGAAACATCGAGAACCTTTTACATTTCCCAAAAACCATGTAGCAGCTCAAGAACTTTGGATTCTCTGCTGCAAAGAACCACTGAGGAACTTTATTTTCCATTCCAAGTACTTTTATTTGTATTAGGAAAATCTTTCTCGCAAATATTGGTTATGTTTGCAGTCTTACCTTTTTAAGGAAACTCTGAATATTCTTTTCTGACCACAGACTGTGAAGAAGAACTCCTGCTGCAGTGCTGGACTTCGGCAGACCCCTGATATATTACAAGAAATTACAAACATTTAGCATTGGAAAAAATACATATAAAATAAAATGTTAAAATATATATTTTTATTAAAATAGATAAAGGTATTGCTCGTAATAATGTTATTATAAATTCTTAACATTTCTTATAAATTATTTTTTATTTTCTTTGTATTCTTTATCTTTCAGTTTTCTTCAGCTGCTTTGGCACAGAAATACAAAAAAAAAACTATTTCAAAGAAAAATACAAAACAAGGTGAAATACCTTCTTCTATTTTCTTTTGCCTTTTTAATTCAAGTAGTCTGATTCATATATCAAGAATAAGCCTGTTTGTTCACTAAGATGAATGAACAGAAGGAAGTGCACACTCACAGATTGAGACTCATGTTGTTGAGGGAGTTGATCAGGCTGTTGTTCAGCAGACTCTTGCCGATCTCAGGGTCGGCCTTCATCAGGGCGTGTGCGCTGTGAAGAGCTGTGGCCATGGTGCTGTCGTATTCAGGCGAGGAGTCGCCCTTCGTGAGCCCTGAGTTCAGGAACCCGACCAGCTGCGGGAGAGTCTGACGAGCTTCACGAGCAAAAACATTCATCAGAACAACCACAAAACACACGCTATAGCAAAAACGCCATGCTAATAACACAACCCTATGGCAAAAACAATACTAAATCAGACAGGACACAATAAAAAAACGAGACAAAAACCGCAACATTAATCACATGCAGTCTGAAGTGATACAAAAACAAGCAGTCAAGACAGAGAACCTCACAGACCGTCAACCATTATGTAACTCCTCAAAACAATAACACTACAAAGTTAAGTTGTCTTATACTTGAGTGATGGCACACATTCGCTTACCCATGGTTTTGTTTGTACGTGTGGATCTGGACAGATTCCCGAGCAGAGCGACTGCGCTGTTCTGTAGAGCGGGATTGGCCGATTGCAACAACGGACTGATGTACTTAAGACCGTTGAGCTTCTGGACGATTGTATGACTCAATACATTCGATACCTAAAAACACAAGACATGGAGCACAGTGGTTTATCTGGAATTTTCAAAAAATAAATAAAATAATTAAATTATGTTTAATATACAAAACATTATTTAATCATAATAATTATCATAATGAAATTAAATAAAATGTTTGAGTGCAAGACATAGATGCTAAAAAAAGGTAATTAAATTAAATTAAAATTAAGTTTAATATATATATATTAATATATTATAATTATTATTATATACATTATTATTTAAAATTTATATCTCAATACAATAAAATAAAATATATTTTATACATATATTTTTTTTACATCCCATGAACAGGTGCATTCTATAAATTAAAATAAAATAATTCTTACATTTGTATAAATATTATAAATATAAAAATAAAGTATATATACATTATACTACAGTAAAATGAAATACTTGATTTTCTTTGAGCTCAACCCATGAACAGGTACATGCTATAAAAAATAAAAAATAAAATAATGCTTAATATATATAAAACATAATTTAATCAAAATAATTATCATAATGAAATAAAATCCTTGCTTTTCTTTGAGTCTAACCCATGAACAGATGCATGCAAAAAATAAATTAAATGAAGCTTAATATGTAAAATTATTATTTGAAATTTACTTGATTTTTTTTAAACACAACCCATGAACCGGTCCATAAAATAAAATAAAATAAACAATGCTTAATATATATATATATTAAGGGTGGAAAGGTTCAACTTACTCACGGTTCCGTTTGTATCACGGTTTTAGAGTCACGGTTTCGGTACGGTTCGGTATGTGCTATGTTTAGGGGAAAACTATACCGTCAAATAAAAATAAAGAAAATAAGAATAATCTATCTTACTACAAGCAACAGCACAAATAAATACAATAGAGTAAAGATACAAATAAAATAAACAGTGATTTTCAGGAAACATATATTAGCTGAACCCTGTTTGTTTTACGTGTTATTTATAGCAAACCATATTACAGATTCGTAGTCAGATTTAAGTTAAACCGCGGTACTAGCGCGTGCCGTTTTTTTCCGCGAACCGTTCCACCCCAAATATATGTATACATATAATATAGTAAAATTGTTGATTTACTCTGCATCCAACCTATGGCCAGGTGTGTGCTAAAACAGAATTATTGATGTCTTACTAAGCCATCAGTGGCGGTGAGGTTCTGCAGTGCTCCACAGCTGGCCTCAAGTGTGGCGTCTTTTTCACTGGAGCTCAACAGATTGAGGAACATCTGCAAGGCTTTGGAGTGGAAGAGCCAGCCGGCACCTTTAGGATTGTTGTCCTCCATAACTGGATAGTCAAAGCCACTCTGCAACACAACCAAACACAACAATACAAACCTGTGAAGGATGACACTTAATAAAAACTAACATCCATAGTAATGCAATGCTTTTCGCACACTTACACTGGTAATATCATATCACAGTATCTCTGAAGTACCTCACAGGCAATCAAACTGTGAAATGTAGGCTTTAATGAGGTGTAAACCACAAACCTCCTGCTGCAGTTTTTGGCTCTGGGAGCTGAAGCAGCCGATCGGACCGGTGTCTGATGAGCTGGAGCGATTGCGAGCGTAACTGGCCAGCGTGTTTATTTTAGTGAAGAGAGAGGGCATCTCGGTCTCCAGCTGGTAGGTGAGGTTGTGCAGAATGCAGACGCAGTTCTCCAAAGACTGGAAAACAAGAGCACAATAACCAATACTGTGATAAAAACATAGACATTAAAATAAGCAGCAGCAGTAGTGTCCTGTGGTGTGTTTTACTCCATCATAAAGTACTTTAATCAGCATTTGTCTTACTCTTATATAGTTAAGCAATAATTTGGCGATTACATGTAATATTTGCTTTTAAAATTACATTAGTAACACCACAGGATGATTCAAGTAAACTGCAAAAATTAAAATGATGTAAAACAATATTTAAAAGAAATTGGGAACAGCAATTAAAATAAACACATTAAAGCAAAAGGAAACATGCCAAATATTTCAATATTTTTATTTTCAAGCTGGAAATATCATATATAAATATTAAACTTTTAATAAAATTATATTTATTTGTTATATATATATATATATATATATATATATTTTTTTTTTTTTCCCACAAGCA